TCAAGAAAAAAAAATCTGAAAGCGCAGTAGATTGGCTGACAAATTTCCTTTCCCTCCTAAAAGTGTAATTTCCTTTAAGTTCTCTAATTTATATTTGATGTATATATTGTGACTTTTTTGACTTAGGTTAATGCTTATTTTTACCTATCAGCATTATTAGTTATCATCCTAAATTTTATTATAGGTTAATTATATCTTTTAATGTTAAAAATTTCATTTCTCATTATCCTGTTGTTTTTTTATTATCTCTTCACTGTCCTTTAATGTTAAAAATTAACTTATTATTAAATTTAGAATTAGAATACCTAGTGACCTTTTAAATATAGTTGAAGGGTAAAAATGATCATTAACACTTAATTTTATATATCTTTCAAAGTGAGCAGCGCGTGACAATAATTAAATTTTTAATCTTTTACTTTAGTGATAAAGTTAATTTTCTTTATTCTGCAAATTAGATGTGATTTGGGAAAGCAAATGCACACATATTTGTTAATTTAATTAACTAATTATTATTGTCTCATCATCCCTCATGCCGAACATTTTTCTCCTTCCCCCTCTCTAATCAATGAAACTAATTCCTCATGTCCTCTTGCAAATTCAAGCAATTCTCTTTATCTTATGCATATAGTATGTAGTAATATCTAGATATTATACGTAGTATGTAGAAAAAAATTATATATTTATATTTTATAATTTTTAAATGATTTATCTTTTTAATATAACTGTAAATATATTGAAATGAATTATCTATATGTTTTTAAATTTAAAACTAAAATTGATAAAATATAAAATGGATATTTATATTTTATCATAAAATTTAAATAGAAAGTTTTAAATTTTTTTTCCTGAAATTATACAAGGTTTTCAGAAATCAATGTTATCATTTTTTTAAATATATGATAAATAATGAGATGCTTTTTAGAAAATGAAAGACTTAAATATATTAAACTTTGTTATTAGATAAAAGTTGCACTTTGTCATTTACTAAGCTAGGCATTCACAACTTTTTTTTTACTATTTTTTTTCAATTAGAAAATGTATCAATTTTTTTTTTGGTTCACAATTTTAGTTTTAAAATTTACAAGTCTGACTCAATAAATAAATAAAATGATTTAGGTATTTACAATTTTTTTTCACCATTATTCTTCACTTTTTAAAATTAAGTAGTATTTTTATTATTTTATCATAAACTTTAACGACAGTTAGATCCTTTAGGATTTAAAAGGTATTATTATATTTTAAGAGATTAAATTATTATTTTTTATTTTAGAGATATTTATTTGTCCTTCTTTCTATTATTTATCTCATAGCAAACTATTATTATTAATATTAAATATATAATGTTAAGTACATAAATATTTTTATTTTCTTAAAAGCATCGCATTATTTTATCATTTTTTTAAAAAAAGTGATAGCACTGATTTCTGAAAAACCTTGTATAATTCCTGAAAAACATTAAAGCATTCTATTTAAATTTCATGATAAAATATAAATATCTATTTTATAATTTATCAGTTTTAGTTTTAAATTATTTAAAAATTAAAAAATGTAAATATATAATTTTTTTACATACTATATATAATATCTATATTTTACTATATACTATATATATGAGATAAAGAGAGTAGTTTCAACTTACAAGAGGGCATGAGAAGTTAATTTTATTGGAGAGAGAAAGGGAGGAAGAAAAGAGATTTGGCTTTAAAAATATTAAGATAATGGTAATTAGTCTTCTCATATCATGTCTGACACAAAGTTTTTTATATTAATTGTACAAAACTTGTTATTGCCTAATCTATCTTCTATTCTTCTCACATTGAAAAGTTTAAATCTGAACTTGATGTTATTGGAACATATTTTTAATTTATAACATTTTAGTAATGATTTTTAATAAATTTGTTTTTTGCAGCACGTTGGTCAATCTGCCGGACATGAGTGGTCCTTTCTCTGTACAGTGTACACACATTGAAAACATATCCGCGAGGATCTATGATAAATCAACCGGGATTCCTCTAATTGTTAAAATAAAATAATTAGGCTTCATCACAAGTACTAAAGCACATCTGATTTGCCAACAAGCATCGTTTAGCTTGGAAGGAGGGGCGGGAAAGAAGGGTTGTAATGAATTCAATTTTAAAAAATTGGATAATTATTCAACTTAAAGGTCTTTGATAAAAAACATGTATGAGCAAAGGGGGGAAAAATTAATTACAGAATTTTAACTTCATTTAACCACAAGTTGAATAATGTAAAACTTACTTAAATAACAAGTTTATTTATGAATTTAACAGAGGAATATTAATTTGTGGTTATTTATAATATTTTTAATTTCAATGAAGTCTTTATAGTTTATTTTTGTTCGAATTGAACCCCCGTAGTTTGATCCATTATATATGTTAACTCTTGAATGTTAAAATTATTAATGAATGATTATTTTTTTCAAAATAAAAAAGTTTTTAAAATTTAAAAAAATTAAGTTAATACTTCTGGTCAAAAAATAAAAAATTATTTACTACAATATTTACATTTTTTATTAACTTTATGTATATGTACTATATATTTATTCACAAGACATGATCTAATTATGTAAATTTTGTAATTAATTTTATATAATATTTTAATGAACACGTGAAAGTTTTTTTTTGGCCAAAAAAGTGTTTGATTCATTTTTTTTATTATCGAAAAAGTCGAAGGATTTTAATTTTAATGGATTACCATATCTAATAAAGAAAATTATCAATATTCAATTCAAACAAAATAAACTACTTAAACATAATTTAAAATATAAAAAAATCATAAATACCTACAAATCAATTTTTTCTTTAACAAAATCACTATAATATATTCAAACTATTATATCTGATTTTATATACAAGTCACATTTAATTATATAATTACAGTAGAGAAGATATGTCATCTTTAAAAATATTCTCTCAATCATATATAATATTTTATTCTATTTATACAAAATGAGAGAGTTAGATTAAAAAATTAACAGTTGACCAAAAAAATTAAAAAATAACTAATAATATGTTTTTTACAAAAGAATTTCAATTTTTTATGGAAATAAATTTATATATAGCACAAGATAAAATATTTGTGTTTTGTTATGAAAATAACCAATTAGAAAAGAAGATATATACGGAGAAGAAATGGAGATAAAAGAATGAGAAAATTTTCTTTGGATTATTATCCTTTACAATATAAATAACATGCTCAATTTACATAGCTGATTTTATATTAAAAGTTATACAAATAATAATAATAAATAAATAATAATTAACACTAATTATATTGAAAGTTTGGCGAGGGAAGATGAAGGGGTGAAGGAAATGATTAACACTTTCATATTCATTATATCTTTAATTATTCTTAAGGTTATTATTGTAAAAGTGACCCTCTCAGGGTATGCGTTGGGTAATCTTACCAACCGAACCGGCTTGGATTCTCTGGATATGCAATTACTAGTTATGGCTTCCTTGTTCATGCCACGCCATGTCATGTTAATTTCCACAACGTCTGTTCAGGCTTTTAACTAAGGCAACGTGGTCCCTACATGGATTAATTATTGTCCCCTCTCTCTTCATTATTATCTCGACCGAGGTACTCCCCGGGAGTCTCTCTCGTCCCAATTTAATTAAACCAATTACCATTATAAGAAAATATAAAAAAATTTTAGATGGAAGTAAATTTTAATAAATATACTTTCAGTTAACGTAAGTGGTAGAGATTCCTCAGAATTCGAATTTCAAAATTTTTCCATGACCCTCCAGCATCATGGCGAAAGCGTATAAAGTAAATTCAATTATTTTGGTCTCACGAAAAATGGACTTAATTTTTCAGTTTCCTTATTATTTATAACTAATACTCAACATTTTCTATATATAATTTCTAAACTCACATTGTTCTATACAGTTAAAAAAAACATATAAAAGCTTTTTTTTTTAAACTACAAATGTCCTACATTATGATTTATGAATAAAATAGTCTATAGAAAATGTTTTTTCATCACCGAAGGTGGTATTATTTGAAAGAATGACGGTAAAGCTGAAAGGATGAAAAAATAACAGTTACTCTCGTTAAAAAATATAAAATATTTTTTAAAGAGTTAGATATTTAAAAATATTAAGTATTTTTAATCTTTTAAAATGTGATCATTTTTTTTTTAAAAGTACTTCTATTGATAATGACTTTATATTTATTAGAAGGTATTTAATAAGGGTAAATGTATAAAGATAGAGTTAATTTAAAAGTGAGTAACTACTTTATTGAGGGATAAAATTCAGTTAAAAATGTCTTACATTTTTAAACTGAGGGAGTGTAAGATTTTGAATCTTTCGAAGTGTGATCATTGCTCTTTTTTTAAAAGTGTCCATATTGATGAATGATTTTATATTTATTATAAGCTATTCAATAGGAATAAAAATGAAAAGATAGAGTTAGTTTGACAGTAAATAACTACTTTATTGAGGGTGAGATTCGAATAAAAATGCTTATATTTGTTAATGGGGGAGTATTAGGTTTTAGGTAAATTTTTTAAAACATAAATTACATAAATTAATTCATAATGTTATAAATAAAAATTTTAATTATAAATTGATAGTTATATTTAAAATTTGAAATATTTTATTTTCAATTTCAATTCCAAAATTTGTATTATTTGAATCGAGGACTTGAATATGTGCTCAAACAAATGAATGATATCATTTATGATCTACTGATAGTATCATTTGCTGTAAATTCTTCATTTTTTACATTAATGTTAATGTTAATAGATCTAGTTGTCAAAAAGAGAGAGGATGTTAATATATCTAAAAAAATATTAATTTTAAATGTTATTTCACAAATACTTAACGTTTTGGTAATGTACAACAATATCTTCCACCGCCTATCAAATCATAAAAAGCACGCCCCACCTGTATTGATCTCATTTTCTCTGCTGTTGAACTTTACGAGCCTTCTCACTGTTTTGAGCAACATCACTCATTCCCAAAGAGATCATGGCCGAAGCACTTCTTTCTGCTGTCTTCAATGTGCTTTTGGAGAGGTTAACACCTGACCTAGCTGACTTGATCAACTTGATTTGTGGAAAGAAGCTCGACAACAAGCTGCTTCAGCGTTTGAAGCCATCCTTGATTGCTGCAAGAGCCGTGCTCAATGATGCCGAACTCAAACAATTCACCGATCCTAACGTCAAAGATTGGCTTGATGAGCTCAAAGACGCTGCTTATGACCTGGACGACTTTATGGATGAGATTTCCACACGAGCTGCCACTCAGAAAAAGGTACCGTGTTTCTCCTTTTCTTCTCTTAGTTTGGGTGATACGAACCTGGGAAATGATTTAGAAGATATGATTGATAGAATTGAACATATTGTGGCACTGAAAGATGTCCTTGCTTTGAAGAAGACAAGTGGCAAAGAAACTTTGTCATGGAGGCCTCCAGTTATGTCTCATGTGAATGTCCCTCGTGTTTATGGAAGAGAGAAAGAAAAACAAGATCTAATTAAGCTTATGTTCAATAATGATGACGGTTACGAGTTGTCTGTAATCCCTGTCGTGGGCATGGGCGGGGTTGGGAAGACCACCTTAGTCCGGCTAGTTTTTAATGATAATGATGTGAAGCAAAAATTTGATATTACTGCGTGGGTTTGCGTTTCTGAAGCATTTGATCATTTGAAAATAGTAGAGACTATAATAAAATATATCGATCCTGATTTTGTCTGTGATAATATGGATGTAAGTCTTCTTCAACATCGTTTGGCTGAGAAGTTGGAAGGAAAAAGGTTTTTAATTGTTCTTGACGATGTCTGGAATGACAAAGTCACTGACTGGGATACTGTGAAGTATTTGGTCTGGAATAAAGTGGAAGGATGCAAAATTCTTGTTACAACTCGCGATGCGAGTGTTGCTTCGGTAGCTAAAAGTGTTGCTTCGGTAGCTAAAAGTGATGCTGTGGTTGCTAAAACTATCTCATCATTTTATTGTCTAAATGTCTTGTCTGATGAAGATTGTTTGTCAATTTTTGCTGCACACGCTTTCCATTCTAGAGATTCAACTCTGAACTCACGCTTAGAAAAGATTGGGAGCGACATTGCTGGCAAGTGTAAAGGATTGCCTTTAGCTGCAAAAGTACTTGGGGGGCTTTTTCGATCCAAGCCTGACTTTGAAGACTGGAATAATGTATTAAACGATTCCATGTGGGATTCATCAGACAACGAGATCATCCCAGCCTTAAGAGTCAGTTATTATTATCTCCCTCCCCATTTAAAACAATGCTTTGCTTTTTGTTCTTTGTTCCCAAAGGATTATCAATTTCGTAAGGAGCAATTAATCTTGATGTGGATGGCAGAAGGTTTTTTGCACCCTCCAAAGAGGAACATGACTTTAGAAAAAGCTGGTTCTATGGACTTTGATGATTTAACTTCGAGATCATTCTTTCAACCCATACCAAATGATGATGAGTGCTTTTGGTTGAAAGGAAGAGATGAGCGGTTTGTCATGCATGATCTCATTCATGACTTAGCGACTCATGTTGCTGGAGACTTCTACTTTCAATTGGAGAAGAATGGAAGTAAAATTGACAAAAAGACACGCCATTTGTCATGCAACTATCAAAATCATGCATGCTTAGACCATGAATTTTTCAAAAAAATAAAATCCTTACGAACATTTATAGGATTGGGATATTACCGTATCTCTCCATTTGTTGGAAATGTTTCTCATATTCTATTATCAAATATGAAGTGCTTGCGAATGTTGTCACTTCGAGGTCTGCGTGCATTAAGGGTGGTTCCCGAGTCTATTGGGGAACTCATCCATTTGCGCTATTTGGATCTATCAGACACAAGTATTGAAAGCTTGCCTGGATCAATATGTAAGATGTATAACTTACAGACGTTGAAGTTGCGTTCTTGCATGTCTCTTGAGATGCTCCCAAATGAGATTCAAGATCTTGCAAATCTTCGCCATTTGGATCTATCCTGGTCGGTAAAGATTGCAAGTTTGCCTAAATCATTGTGCAAATTATACAATCTACAAACATTAAAGTTAGAACATTGTCATAGTCTGCAGATGCTGCCAAGTGATACACAAGATCTTGTAAACTTGTGGCGTCTTGATGTTAAAGACGCTAGCTTGAAAGAAATGCCGAGGGGATTGGGCAAGTTAAAAAATTTGCAATTTTTGAGTGACTTTGTTGTTGGAAAAGAGCAAGGGATCGAGATTGGAGAATTGGGAGAAATGCCAAATTTAAAGGGTTGGATTACGATAAAAAAATTAGAGAATGTCAAGGATGGAAATGAAGCCTTTGAAGCGAGAATGATGGAGAAGGAGCACATTAAGGATCTAACATTATCATGGTCAGGGGATGCCGATGTGGAAGATGTAACACAGAGAGATATTTTGGACAAGCTTCAACCTTATTGGGATTTAGAAGGATTGGAAATATGGAGCTATAGGGGCACAACATTTCCGGATTGGTTGGGGAGTCCTGGCTACCACTACATGACTTGGTTGCAGCTGGTTAATTGCGAAAACTGTTGTATGCTTCCCCCTCTTGGGCAGCTCCCGGCTCTAAAGACATTATATATGAGAGGATTAAAAAGGATTGAGAAGATTGGTGAAGAGTTGTTGAAGGCCAGTGAACGTGCTCCCATGATTCCATTTCCAGCTCTTGAATGTCTTGGGTTTTCATTCATGACTTCGTGGAAAGAATGGCATTCCATTGACGTGGAAGCTTTCCCTGAACTCCGATGTCTCAAAATATGGTCTTGCCCTAAATTAGTTGGAAATTTACCTAGCCAGTTGCTTTCTCTAAAAACCTTGAGGATGGAATATTGTCCATTGCTGGCTTCTTCTATTCCGAGGTGTCCTGAAATTCAGGATTTAGTGATAGTTGGATGCAGAAGTGTGGGGTGGCAAGAGCAAGAGTTACCTCGTTCCCTTAGGAGGCTAGGAATTACAGGATGTCGGATGTTGGAATCAATGTTGGAGGCACTCTCTAAACATCTGCATCTTCAAGAATTAAGTATCTCGGAGTGCTCCAATACATCACATCAAATGATTCATTTGCCCCCATCACTACAACAGTTAGAGATAAGTGATTGTCAGAATGTCGATTTTGTGTTGAGTTCAACTGCTCCTCTACAAAATCTCCAATCTCTAACTATTGGGCAAGGTTGTAATTTTGTGAAGTTTATGTCGGATGACATGGAAGATCTTCTCCCAAATTTAAAAGATCTATGGATAAGTAGTTGTGAAGAGATGGAAGCATTTCCAGAAGGGATCCTTGTGCCAAGTTTGAGGGAACTTCATATTGAAGTGTGTCACAAGCTATTATCCCACCAAGCAGAGTGGCGCCTCCTAACTAATATTACTCTCCTTTATATTCTTGGTTCAGATGTCAAGTGTTTCCCGGAGGGCTTTTCTCTTCCTGCCACTCTCACCACTCTAGAGCTCTACTACTTTGACGACTTGGAGACGTTGGATTGCACAGGACTTGAGCACCTAACCTCTCTCCAACAACTCTACATCATGTATTGTGACAAGCTGGAGAAATTGTCAGGAAAAAATCTGCCGCCTTCTATAAGAGAGCTTTGCATTGAGGATTGTCCATTGTTGGAAGAACAATACCGCAAGAAGGATGAAGGTCTCATGCGCCGCATATCCCACATCCAACGCATCCAATTTTTTTGATTTATAAATTCCTGATATGAGATACAATTATCCACAAGGTACTTATTCTCGCTCCCTTGTTCCAATTGATGCAACTTTACTTTCGAGCTTTATGAAATTCCTTAGTCATCCGCATGGTATTTATTGGATTGGAAGATTTCCCACATCACTTGTCTCGTTTCTCGTTTAACTTCTAGGATATGATCTTTTTTTTATAATTTAATATGTTGTGTATATATATTTATAGTGACTTTATACTCTGTTTTTATTATCTTCCAAATGAAATTAGATGACTACATATAAGTACACAATTTAAGAACTAAAGTATCATAATTTGCAACTTCATGAATTAAATTGAGGTATCAATCTCGTGTTTCTTTTAAATTATTGTAAATGTTGGCAAATATATATATATATATATATATTTATATGATCTGCCTCAAAGCATATTAATTCATTAAGTTAGCTACTCATTGCTCGTCCTACACAGAAAAACAAAAGATATGACACGTTTGTAAACTTGCAACTTCATGAATTAAATTCAGGTAATAATCTTATTGCTGGCAAATATTTGAGAATATAGCTAGCAAAATATGTATATGTTTTGATGTAGGTCAGAGCAATAATTTTTTATTTTTGCTACTTATTGCTCCTCCTACGCAGAAAAATAAAAAGATATAACACGTTTACATGGTTCATTATGTTTACAATTCCATTACTTTAAACATTAGTGAAGTGATCCTTTTGGTCTCAAATTATGCAGAGGTGCTCCACATTATTCAATCATATTGAAGGTACATTTTAGACAAGTTTCTTTATGTATTTTTTTATCTTTTCTATTTTTGAGCTTTTCTTATTGATTAATGGGTTTGTTGCAGGTAGTGTCCAACAGATGCGAGCTAGTTCTGATTCATAAAAGCAACACATTCACAATGCTTAATGTTGTAATTAAGATCCTTCATATATTCCTAATGAGGTTTGAACTCAACCAAAGAGCTTTTGATTTCTTCATTCTCTCGTAGTCTACTTGGTTAAATATTCTTATTAATTATGAAGTTTGTTTAAAATGTAGCACCAGCCAAAATTATAGAAAGGGATTTGCAGACTTGAATCTATTCCAAGAAGAAAAGCTCATTGAAATCTGATCTGGTCCATATCTTCTTCTTCATTAATTTTCTGATTTTCTTGAAGTGTTCTTCTCGATACTTGAGCATTTTGTTATCTTTTTTAATGATGTTTCAAGACCTGCAAATTGTGTATTGTATTATGATCACTCATTAAATTCCCAGGCTTCATTCATGCTTGGGGAGAGGAGAGGATGTAGGATTCAATTTTTGAATCCGAACTTCTATATATCATGGTGTCATCATGTAATCTTTTTTTTTTTTTTGTTTAAATTCCAAATCATCACAGGATTATTGATATTTTCGTTGAATCAAGCGCGCAAGCTTGCTTTCAAAATAGAAAGTATAATTATAAATTCTTGTAAAATATGTAGCATAGTTATACATGTAACACTTAAAATGTTACACTGATTTTTTGCAAACCATGTGGCTTCACAAATAAACTTTATTCATTAAATACTTACCATGGACCATTTAAGCCCCCAAACAAATTGAAAATCTCCTTCCTTATACTAATTAATTTATTTATTTAACTTTCACGTACCCAAATCATCGCTAAAAATCCCCTCGCAATGTCTACGGTTTTGAGTATAATCATCCTGCCATATTTATTGATGTTAAAATAAATAATGCCTACTTAATTTCAAAACACCCATATAGTTTAAATCCAAGGGCTTGGTAACTCAAAATGAAATCCCAACGATAGCTTTAGCTTAAAGAAGCTTAAAAAAAGTGAAAGTGGGTAGGAAAATGCTTAGATGAGTTACCTTGAGTTATTATAGCCCTATAATCATGCTTTAGGGTTAGGAACTCTAAATTTTAGCGGAGCCATCAAAAAATCACACAAAACTTTTCAAATTTCTCTCTTCTTTGCATCTGTTGTGAATCTGCAATTAATGCAGACTTTGCGTTGTCCGTTGTAGTAGAAGCATCATACACCATGACAGATAGTGCAAAACATTGCACCTTTCTTAAGCCTAATTATTTGGGTCCAGTCTGGCCTGATACCTAATTTGGACTCCATATAATCCAAATATATCATTTTAAGCCCAAACTAAACTATAATTAGATACCTAAACATGTAATTATCTTCAAGTAATCTCAGACATGATTTATTATCCAAATCAAATCCAAAGTAATATAAAGCTTAATTTAAATAAATTCTCAATTTCCACAATTAATTCATAATATAGAATTTTAGGATATTATAATACACATGGTAACATGATTAATAAAGTTCTGAGAAGTGAAATGTTCTGTTATCTTATTTCTTAAATAAATATAACTTTGATTGAATATTTATCTCAATATCAATTACCATAAATATATCAAGGCTTTCCATATCTTTCAACATTTTATAGACAAATATGTCTCCTTGCACAGTCAAGTCACAAAGGTGACAATAATTATGTCATACAAATTCTATATCCTCGTACAAATGGGAGGAAATGTTTAAAAAAACTATTTAAAAACTTATATTACAATTTTACCATAAAAAACTTATACTGCAAATTTAAATAATTAAGAAATATATTTGAAAGCTTCAAACATAAAGGTTTTCCATTCCATTGTTCCTGTTCAGCTCCATTCGTCCTTATGATTCATAATAACCTTAAGCCTGGATTCAAACTTGAGAAAACATCCTAGGCTTAAACTCAAATTATATACGAAAATCCAAAGGATTATACGCATATAGATCCAATTATTGCAAAACATTCTACCATGGGTGAATGCTTTACAGATTAAAAACTTTGCAGTTCTGCACCAATTTCTGTTTAAATAACAAAGAAGTTTCTTTTGATAAATGTATCTAACATTTATTAACCTTAGAAACTTTTGAATCATTGTTAAATTACCAGCAGATCACCCTTTTTCTTGCATGAGCAAAGCTATTCCCAGTGATAAAATCTCTTATATCCTTAGAAGTCTATTTCTAAGGTCATGTTTGATACATTAAAATTTAATCAATGAGAAGTGGAATTAGAATTAGAATCATGCTTTTATTAATTTGGTATGCATGAATCCAAATTCTTTATGGATTTCAATTTCACTAAAATACCCATAATCCAATTCCATTCATATCATAATGGAATTGGGGCAATTCCATAGAATTGCCATTAGTGATGATTTTATTTTTTATGTTTAATTTTTATAAGGGCATTTTGATCTTTGGCTATTTTAGATAAATATACTTATTCAATTATATCTGGATTTCCTCTTTGTACCAAATATACATCTATAACTCAACTCCAATTTCAATCCTAAATTTTAATTTTATCAAAAACTTTTCCATCATACCAAATAAGGTTTAAGAGGAACTTGATTTTTCAAAACTTCCCATATAAATATCTGAATCCTGCATGGAACATAAATTTTCCACATCATTTCCCATGCTACAGTCCTCCCACTGTTCTTTATGGGATGCACAAGTAAGTTTCCTTACTCTGTCCAAAAAAAGTTTCCTTATTACTTGAGTAAAAGACTCACAATATTTCAACATTCCAGGCTTTCAGTTGTTGATCATGCAAATATATTCTCTCTCCATTTAAAAATATAAAATATTTTAATTAAATTTCACCCATCAATAAAGTAGTTATCTATTTTTAAATTAACGCTATCTTTTATATTTACCCCTATTAAATACTTTACAATAAATATAAAGTCATTGAGGCACTTTTGAAAAAAAAAAGCAATGATTACACTTCAAAAAACTAAAAATACCTTACATTTTTAAACATTAAACTTCTCAAAAAATGCCTTACATTTTTAACGAAAGGAATATAAGATTACCCGTTGCGTTATTTGATGAAATCTCATTTTTATTTATATTTTCATTCAAATATTTATTCTCATTTTTATTCCTATATAAAATTATTCTTTTAAGGCAAACGCATGCTATATATATATATATATATATATATATCACATTCGCTTGAATGCAATTCTATTTGTTCACGTAGGGTTTGTATCTTGTTTATTTTTATTTTTGTTAATTATAGGAAGAGATATGAATAAAGGGTATGTGAGATCCATCTAGTCTTATTTGAGCTTTGAGCACGTAAGATTCACTTAAGTGATACAAAAGTGCTATATTGTTTGCATTGATTGTATTTATATATTTATTTCAGATTATTAAGTTTTACATTTTTTCTTCTATGTTTTCTTTTGAGGAGCGCTAGACATCTTATAATAATAAGCGAAATATTTTTTCCTAAATCATTTTTTTCAAGAGCAAAAATCTCCCTCCATTAGTATTTCTCTGCTTGTTTCTGTTGACGAGACATGCCCTTTGATGCTAATTTATTCTTAAATTTCTTTTTCATGATCATTGAGCACTAAAAATTTTTTCTTTTAAAAAGCCTTAGGCACACTGTATTGATAAGTGTGACATTTTTTTTAAACTATTTGCCAAATGAGCAAAAGTCCTTCTTTATTAATAGATCACTAATAGAGGAAAATATATGCTCATTTGAAAAATAATTTGGGAGAAAAAATGCCTCATTTTACAAGGCGCGTAGTGCTCCTTGAAGAGAAGTATTTGAAAAAAAGGTTCATTTTAATCCTTGTAATGAACTTGATTTTTTTTTTTAAGTAAAAGATTGTGATAATCCAATACAACATTTACCTTTGCATTTACAAATCAAACCCGTGAAAGGCAAATCAAATAATGTAAACGCATTTGATTTCTGATTAAGCTAATATTAAACCAAGCATCAAGTGGTCATTCAATATGTGCATTGGTATTGAAATTCTATATTCTACTTCTTTCCATCCTAAATATAAGGTTGTAATAACTAATCCGTAGAAACTAAAAAGGATAACTTGTGACACTCTTTAAAAATTTTGCTTCTACTTGCTTCTATTTTCCTATAAAAATTGGATTACATTAAGAATCATCTTTGAGTTTTTATTTATTTGATTTAATCTTAGATGTTTGATCGAGCATATTTAAGAAAAAATTTCTAAATGCGTGCTTTTTGAGGATGGTATAGTTCTTATTACAGAGACAAGAGAAGTGATAAATTGTAAACTTGAGTTATGGAAGAAAGCATTGAAGTCAAAAGCTTTTCACCTGAGTAAGAGTAAAACAGAATATTCACATTGTAATTTTAATAAAGGGTTAGTGAGTAGTAACTTGGAAGTAAAATTGGGTGATCAGACTATATCTCAAATGAAAAAATTTAAATATTTGGGAGCAATTATTTAACAAAATGGGAAAATTGATCGAGATATTGCACATAGGATACAAGCGGGATGGTTTAATTGGAGAAAGGCTAAAAGAGTTATCTATGATGGTAAGGTACCTAAAAAGCTTAAAGAAAAGTTTTATTGAACTGCTATAAGACTAACTTTATATGGTCCTGAATGTTAGGCTTTGACGAGACAGCAAGAGCATAAAGTTAGAGTAGCAGAGATGAGAATGTTAAGATGGATGTGTGGATATACACATAAAAATAAAATTCAAAATGAGCGAATACGGGAAAAAGTAGATGTGGCAACTATTGAAGGAAAAATGATGGAAAATTATTTAAGGTGGTTTGGACATGTACAAAGAAAACCACCGAAGGAACCTGTGATGAAAGTGGAACAGATAACTTTGAGCCTTATCAAAAATGACAGAGGAAGTCTGAAGAGAATACTTTTGGAGGTTATTGAGCAAGACCTTTTAATTAACAATATTTTTAAAAATTTAATAAATGATAAAGCACAATGGCATCGCATAATTCATATAACTGACCTCACCTGGTAGGATAAAGCTTGTTGTTGTTGTTGTATGATTCTGAATTTAAAACAAAAATTTATTCATTCACAATTAAATTTTTGTAAATTTATTATTATCCCTAATTCTAAGTAATGCATTAATTTAAAAGAATTTATTCCTTCATAATTTAAAAGAAAGAGTAACACATATCTACCACGCTACATACACCAATCCCTTAATTATATGAAGGATCGAACCTACAACTTTTTTCCCCCTAAAAGAATATGGGGTGCTTGTGCTCTAAATGCAATGTCTTTCTTTGCATTACTTTATTTCTTTTGAAAATAAATATATGTGAATAAATTTAAAAATATCATTGTATTAATATGGAAGATTGAGTTACTTATAACCTTAAAAATATATATTTTTTTTATAAGGTATAAGGGTTTTGTTTAAAAAAAAGGTATAAGGGATATATATTTACAATCTTCTACATTATAAATATAATAATTAATAATTTTGATATTATAAAAGTTGATGAATAAAATGTAAAAAATAAAAATATATATTGTATTTTTATTATATATTTGTTAAATAT